AACAAAAGCCAAAAAAAAATTTTAAAAAAGGGATAAAAAAAAAAAAAAAAAAAAAAAAAAAAAAGCCAAAGTACAACTTTTTTTTCTTTCTCAGTTTCTGTTCATAGCCAAATCAAATAAAAAGAAAATGACAAACATGTTACAGGACATAGCTGTTGTCAAAAAAGACATAATGGTAATAGTATAAATTCCTGAATCTTAAAAAAATTGTTGCAGGCTGTACGGAACGGCAGTTATTAGCTTCTTGTTGTTGGCACTGGTGCAGGATGATTCCAGGTTCAAATTGCACGTGAAGCCTCTCACTTTGATGAATGGATGGATATTTCCACATTTTCTAAACATGTCAGACACATTCTGAACATTATCAGGGCCAAGCCTCCTTTGTGTACCTGGGAACCATCTCCAAACTGATATTGAAGTAGTTTGTATCTGATGTCCTTACGGTGGCCATCAGGGACTTCTTTGGATGCTCACTCTCACATATCTGGCTAAATGTTTGCAAAACCGGAGTTTCCTGATCTTTTGATGAGTCCGTGTTGGCGGCTGGATTAGCAATCCCACACATTTGAGGGTAGTGTCTGAAGCATTCAAAATTGTCCAGGCACCTCTGGCACCTGAGATCCCTCAGAGTCGCTATAGGCGGCTGAGTAGAGGAGATGGATAAGGGAGGCTGGTTGGTCTGTCTGTGAGCTGTGCGACGTCTGACCATGACGTTTGGTTTCGAGCAGCACTTCGCGTGGCCCTTGAACACGAGGCATCCCTTCAGACATGTTTGGAATAGCGTTCCCAGGTCCCTGCACATGATTTGTCGGAAATTAGGCCTCAGCATTAGGTAGATCATCGGGTTGTAGATAGTCGACGACTTTGCAAACATAGCGGGCATTGCAAATGCAAGAGGGGGAATGCTTTCGATTTCTCCGAAGGCGGCCCACATGGAAACTACGGCGTATGGACTCCACGCCGCAAAGAATCCAATGCAGACAGCAACGCTTAGCTTGAAGAAGAAAAAAAAACAAAACAAAAAAAACAAGCACAGTAGAAAGTGAATACATAACTAGAACTCTGTGAAAAAGTGACATCTCTCAATAGTAGAATTAAAGGAGGTTATTCTGCATTACTTCTCCAGAGTTGAAGGTAAAGTTGATTTGTATTGTCCACTTAAAAATGTGCAGTATGGGGCAGTAACTCCATGAAACTTCATATGAATGTATTTGTCTATATAAGATGTCAGTTGTTTTTCCTTTTGTTTTCCTGTTGAGTCAAATATTAGGAAGAATGTTTGTTTTTTTTTTGTCTTTTTTTTAGCATTCAATGATAATGCAGCATATCAGGGATGAATGCCAATCAAAAAAAGTTTTAGATCAGTCTTCAAGTAAGCAAAGATGCGATCGTTAAATCATTTCTGAGCCTCTCACCTCACCTTGATAATAATCGTCTGGATGCTGCTCATGCTCGTCTGCCTTGATGCGTGCTGCTCCATGGTCTTCCTGGACGCCTGCACAGTCACCAAGATGCTCGTGTAGGACGCAACAATTACGCAGCACGGAAGGATGTAGCAGAAAACAAAGAGCGCCACGGTGTACGAGCGGGCCGTGCCGAGCTTGTTGGACAAGCGCCAGTCAATGCAGCAGGCGGTTCCGTAAGGCTCCGGTCCGTACTCTCCCCAGTGGACCAGTGGGGAGCAGGCGAACAGCAACGCATAGACCCAAGCACAGGCTATGAGCAGCTGGCCGTGAAAAGGCTTGAACCTGTTTCCTGTCGAAACGGACAAGGATTCCAGCTTATTGCAAATTATTTTAAGACAAGTATTTAATCAACTTTCCCCAAACTGCTTATTTTACACCACAATCTCGCTCATTTATTATTAGTTGAAAAGTGTTTGTTTCTCACAAGAGAAGGTAAACAAAAATGAAGAGTTGACCGCTGAAGAGGTAACAAAGAAGAAGAGCTTCTGACTGCCTTGCACTAAGCACATCTGTCAATTATTGAAATAATTGCTGTGAAAGTTAGAACAAAAGAAAGTATATTTTAGGGCAAACTCTTATTGACCTTATCTTGTCTTACCCCAGAGCAGAAAGGCACTTTTGGTTTTTCACGAGCTCCTTGTACCTGTTATCTATTTTGTTCTGAATATGGTATTCAAACCAGAAGTCTGACTCAAGCCGGATCAACCAAGATTCACAAAAGAAAAAAAGAACATTAAACAGCAGTGGGATGGGTCAAAAATGTTAAATTGCTAAGCAATTTTCTGGATCTAGCACATTGAGGGGGATGTTTCCCTCTCAAAGACAGATGTGCTTCACTGCACATATATGCCGAGGTTGTGAAATTGGCCCAAGTCTTTCAAGTTTGTCATGTGCAGATCCTTACTGGTGACTCATAGTCAAACTTCACACAGAACAATTTACTCCTTCAAACACTCAAAAATACTATGAATGAATTTTAGTGGGTTTTGGACCGGCTTACTAAGGTATCCCAAACTTTAAAACTTTCTACTGTTGCCGTTATTCAACCTGGAACTTTATTTATTGAGATTTTGTGAGACTGACCATAAATCTGTCTCAGTAATGTGAACATGTGAAAATAGCAGCAAAATCATGTGCCTTTTCATTTTGCTTTACTAATACCTATCTGAGCAATATAGCGATTTGTATTCAGTCCCTGAAATATTACTGTTGGGTGGAAAGAACACAGCATTAATGTAGTCATAAAACTTGAAAAGATGTAACGATCTAATAGGTATGCTGTAATGAATGTTCCTCCTGATCCAAATGTTGCTCTACATTCAGTTGAACACTGTTTTTTTTTTTTTTAAACACAGGCAAATGTGAACCAGCAAACAAAATGCAAATGACTGCATGTGAATGTAATTGTTTAGAAATTCAATTACAGGAAAAACATTGTGAGCTTTTTGTACGTAGTCCGGACAACTGTTTACATAAATACAGCCAACATGTTGGGATAATGTAATTTAATCTACATATGTTAAACAGAAACCAAGATTCTTGTGCCAGCAAAACTTTTAACATCTTTAAAGGTTAGCCTCTCTGTGGAGTGCTCTCAAACTGCCTTGGACTAATCTGGTAAACAACAAAATACCAAATTTGGGTAAAAAATTAACAGAAATGAAAACAGATGCAATTTTCTTTTTAATTTCAGGAAGCAACTTCTTATTTATGAGAAAGTATTTTGATGATATGAAACATTAATGTGAGACAAAAAAGAAAAAAAAAGACAAACATTAAAGCTTATTCACAAAACTTCAGGCATGTGCAGACCTTTCTATGAGATTAAATGGATGACACTTTCTTCAGGCCAGATTAAAGAACCACCACACAACATCAACCAAGATCACAAGTAAGTCATATCGACTGCAGCCCCTTCACTTGACAGTCACAAAGGAAGTCTAATGTGTGCTTCACTGAAGGCTCATTCTGCTATTTCCATCAATAAATCAGCTACTAGCCTCTTCTATTATAGGTGACCTGATGGTGGTTAATAACATTAGATTGCAACCATGACTTTCTTGAAAAGCTTACCGTAAAGCGGACGGCACACTTTCACAAAGCACACCGTGCTTAGCAGGGTCAGAGTGGTCAGACTGCAGAGGCCAAACAGTATGCCACAGAATGCGTACAAGGAGCACAGAGTTTTCCCATACAGCCACCTGCGTGGGAGGGCAGGGGGTGTGAGAAAGCAGAAGGGCAGAAATGATCAATGAGGGAGAAGGTGAGGAAAGACAAAGAAAAAGAGTAGGTTGAACTATATTTGCAGTGTAAGCCCACTGGCAATCACAGGGTTCATCAATCGTGCATTAAACAACTATGAAATGTTAAAGAGTGTCTCTTGAAAAAACTGAAGGTATTTCATTTTGCCGTCATGACGAAAAATATTTTTTTGTCTTTGTTTTTCTTATTAATTACAATGCCACAGCACATGCTAAGTTCATTACCTGTGGTAGAAGCTTGAGCTTATGGCCATGGGATAAAGGGACAATGTGAGGCCCAGGTCACTAACAGCCAGGTTGACGATGAAGTACTCTGCAGGCTTCAGCAGGTGCTTCTTCTTGTAGGAGATATATAGCAGTGTGCTATTTCCAAATAGTGAGCATACGCCTGCAAAACAACAAAACCACAATTTCATGTTTTCTGGGAAACAGCTAGCCTACCTCAGTGGAACAGCAGGAAGACTGAAGAATACATTTTAGGTTTTGAAGCACAGTTGATTGTAATGTCCTACACTTAAAATCATAAATCACCTAACCACAAGCATCCAAGGCACAAGCTACATTATTTCCTGTATTTAAAAAAAAAAAAAAAAGATCTGAATTTACAAAGTGATTCTGATTCTGACCAGGAGTGTTGAAATAAATAACCAATTATGTTGAAAAGCTGAAGACACCTGAGCATGAACCAAAGTAACTTCAGACTGTACTGCCTGTGCTCCAGTAGCATTACGCCATTTATAGCTGACTAATTAATTTTTCAATAAGTGTATTAACCACCGTTGGAAAACAAAACATTTAGAAATTGACTGGATTAATTAGTTGGATTTAAACCTCAGGTAAAACAGGTGGATTAAGTAGAATAAGATTGTTTAAGAATTAAATTATTACATGATGCATCACAACCTGGTACGTGTTAGAAGAGGACATTTAAGAACATTACTGTACAAGTGTCAGGCAAGTGACAGCTGACACTAAATAGAGTACGGCGCATTCATACGCAAACTGCATCTGCAGAAACATGGAATTGTAGGGCTCTTCTTGGAAATACAACCAAGATCAAAACATAGGATGAAAGTCAACTTTGGGAGCAGAGAACTGATTATCAGGGGCCTTTCAGGGTGTTGTGTCAGATAATATTAGATGAACACCTGCCTTTTTGAACCCGTAGTGACTATAAACGGGAGCAATAATTAAATTAGAAGATAAGTGGCGATGTAATGCAAAACGAGTGGAATCCTTAACACCTAACAGCAGAAGTGAGCTTGCATGGCTTCACGTTGGGCTATCTTCTTCTCACGCTGTGATTCATCCCCGCTTGAGCAGAACTCACAGAAAAACTCATTTACAACATTACTAACTCAGCTGTTGGTCTGTTCAAGAGTAATTTAAAAACAGAGAAAAAAAAATTACCTTTGAAGTTCTGCAGACTTAACTCACCGAAAATTGAGTAGACTACGGCCACAGTTATATCCAGAGGCACAGGTATGCTGGAGTGGAACGCCATGTCTTCAGCCAAGAGTCCCATCTAAAATACATTGTTTTATTTTTTGTTAAGTCCAGACATTACAGTTCCAGTCTGTTTTAACTTCTTTTTTTTTTTTTTTTAGAATCTCTGCTAATAAATCATTTCAGCTGAACAATTCCTTATTTTGTGAACATGTCAACCACCAAGACACCCTGCCTCATCGTGTACAGAAACGTTAAAAACATAAACCGGGACACCTATGCTCAATGTGCTGCCACTTGACCGCTCCTCTGCCCCGGATGATATTGTAGCCACTTTCATTTGACTGCCTTGCCAAATATACATTAACTGATGCCGAATACTATCTAACAATCATTACAATTGACCAAAAACTGAATTCACATAGAATAACCTACATGCAGCAGTCAACTTTTGATGTAGGTTGAGAATATGATCCTCAGATGTGGAAGACTAAAAATAAACAACAAAAAAAAATATATATATTTATTACAATTATACATCTGTCTTAGCGTTTATTGGCATCTCATTAAGCTTAATTAAATAGTTCAACAAGATAAAAAAAAAAACAAAAAAAAAACACCATACTTAACAGATTGATTTCTAGTTGCCCAAAGAAAAAAGTCCCAAGTGTATCCTGGGAACAATTAACACGGTCATGTATCTGTGAAGCATTGATAAACTGAAATCAGCAGAGAAATGTTCCACGTGCAAAGTCACAAAACTTAATGGGCTTGTAGTCTACTTCCAATAATGTTTACCCAGATAGAACAATTACACATACTGAATTACTGTGATGAGAGTACTTAAAAGTAGGCGTCCGCATATTTACGTTCTCAACTTTCCTCAAGAAACGCGCTGGAATTCCTCACATTATAAAAAATATATGTCTGTTTTTTTCACATTCATAGACTGCCACCTATGGACAAACAAACGGATCTAGGCGCCACATTGGACTAAGTTTCAAACGTTTTCACTCATCCCTTTTTCTCGTCAGTTAAATAATACCAAAGTATAAATAAAACGTACCTTAAATAATTACTTTCCAACAGCCCGCGATGCGTTCATCAAACTTTGATTTTCCCTCACACCTCCGACAATGCTAACGCCAAACAAAGTGAGTCCACTCCAAACAAAGCGGCAGTCTGGATTTTACTATGCGTCTGTGTCGAGAGGCTTCACTACAGAGCAGAAGATCCAGATGCCCCCCAAAAACAGCGACCTGCTCTCAGCAATTAATGACGTCAATAACCGCTCAAGTCCACGTGGGCAGGTTCGTGTCCACTGGGAGGTGGTGGGGTGGGGGTAACAGCTGACTGCGCCTGGCTCCATTAAGCGTCACAGCTCCTCCAACGAAATTAATTTTGATGAAAAAAGTGGCAAGTAAACAGTCGAGCGCATCCACGCGTCGGTAGGATGCGAGTGTGTGAAAAGTCATCGTGATTTAGCCAGGTGTTGATCACTGCAACTATGGCAGCAGGAGATTGAGCACTTTTTAAAAAAGAATTATTTATTGTAAAATATTACATTTTTACAAGACTCTCCAGGCCAACTTTCACTTCTCACCGATGCAGCGATAGCTTCTAGATTTGACCACCTTGAAAACAACAACAAAAAAAAGAAGACATGCAACATATATATTTTTTTACATTTATGATCGAGGGAATCTGTGATTTAGTGATATTGCAAAGTTCCTGTCTATTCTGAACTTTTAATGAGTTTTTCCAATGACAGTATGTTCATCACAGTGTTCATTAATAATGGTTTAAGTGACTTAGACTTCAGTTTAGTATCAAATTTTGCACTGATTTATGGACGGTGTCTCTGAATTAGGAACTTTTAAGTATGTAACATATATCTTATTATATAATCCAACAAATAATAACTCCTGTGCCTAACGTTATATTAAAAAGTGGTTGAAATGTAATCATTTTTATTCAATGCTCTTTCAAACTTACACAAATTCTTACAAATTGCTACACAGATCTTAGTGGTTAAAGCTGCAATAAGTAACTTTTGTAAAACAAAACAAACAACAACAAAGTATTTACATAGTTATTAAGAATGTTATTATGTCGTGACATGATAAAAATGAGATCCTGTGAAGTACCATGTACCAAGGAAGATTCTCTAGCAGGAAACTTTTTACAAGACTTAAACTAGAGGATTTACTACCAGTCGTTGATTTCTTTCATTTGAAGCCCTGGAGGACCAGGAGCAATGTTGTGATAATGTACTTTTTACTCTAGCAATCCCATCTTTAGTTACATTAAAATTCTCCAACCCTTGTGCCCTCTGATTTTTGTAAAATATTAAAAATAGTAATAATTTAAAAAAAAAATGTAGCAATTGTGCCTTTCACGTATCAAGACAGTAGCAATGTGGCTTTTTTTTTAATTAGAAGTCACACAAACACTTCTGGCATCAATCAAACTGGGTCAAAAGGAACATGTGGTGGCAGCTTCAAAATGAATTTAGTGTGTTCCAGAACGAGCAGAACGAGAAACAATCCACTCTGTCACACTTTGAAAGCAGGTAGGAATTATCTTCAAAAAGAATATCCCTCTGTGAAGATATTGCCTCTCGTGTGTCGCCCGTCCCCTTCACTTTCTTCCCAATATTCATGAACTCACCCTCATACTCGCATAACCAACAGGCAGATTAGCCTGGAGGTGATTGAGGACAAATTTGAGATGAAAGCGCTATTCCAGTTGTAATGGTGCTGTCAACGAATTTAATTGTCATGTCCGCAGAAGGAAGTGAGAAATGAAGGCACACGATAAAATAAAACACAGCGTGGACATCAAAGTGGTCCTGTGGGATTACAGAATGAGCGCTCAGGAGGATTTCACCTGGTGGGAAAAAAGCCACAGGCACCTTATGTAGTCATGACTACAGATAAGTGGACTAACTTCCAGTTCTTGTTGTGAAACACCTTTCATTTTACACAGAATTCGCAATTCACATTGCAATACATGCTTGGATGTCAGAGAAGAAAGGGATTTTAAATCACAGGTTTTTAAGTGACCAGCTCCTGCCGACTAAAGCTTTATATTCTCATCTTCACTTTAATCAAATCAAATTAATCTCTGTAGCCAATCTTTGTGTCGTAGTATTTTCTGTCTCTGCTGTTGTTTTCCTTACTATAGCTGAACTCTGCCTTTTATTTTATCCAGCTTTTGAACTATGTAATCTGATTTAGACTCTTTCCCCCCCGAGTGTGTTGTGGGTTTTCACTCCATGTTTGTCATGTTATTTCTCCCCTATCAATTGCTACTTTGTAATTATTGTTGTTTTTGTTTTTTTACCCCAAAGACTTTGGACTCTATAATGAATTGGGAGATAAGAAATGTGATAAAGTCTTTCCAGATGTCACGAGGCACAAAAATGAAACATAAAATTTCAGATAAAGGCTAAAATAGTTATCACAAGATTTTTAAAAAGCTTAGATTAAAAAAAATGCTCTTGTAACCTTTTTGACTAGAGGAACTTCCATTTGAATTTCAAAACTTCCATTTCTGAATAGTAACAATTCCTCACCATGAATTAACAATTATACTCCAGTCGTTCAGGATGCATGTTCGACTTGGGAATTTGCAGAAGATTAAAAATCTACTACGGTCAATGAGGCAATGCAAGGAAGTTTCATTAGTGGCATTTCCTGCTATGCCCACCTGCTGGGGGGGCGGCTTTGACAGACTGGCCCACTGGACACGGGTAATGAGGGGTGAAAGAGGCAGACAAACCTTGAAAAATGACAGCACAGTTTTACATCCACAGTTATTTAAAAAATTATTTTCTCACCACAATTAAATAGAATATTAACTGTATGAATATATGTATTTCTTAATATTAAGAATTTCTTTTCCAGAAAAATTCTAAGAATTTCTCTGCATTTTGGTTCCAATACTTTTTAGGATCTGAGTAAAATGAGGTCCTGATTCAAGAATTGGGAGCTACAGTAGCTCCCTTAGAGATTTCTATAGCTTTTTTTCAATTATTATTTAAATGTTTATACTTTCCTTGTTCTATGTTACTTTTCAGATCATCTAACCAGTTTAAAACAAAAACAAGTGAAATCTTTGGTGATAGAAAATGCAGTTTTCAAATGATCTTTTCATTTATTTTGAGAAATAAATTATAGAAAAAAAGTAAGTGTCTCCTTTGTGAAACCAGGAAGCAATTGTGATTGACAATTTAGTCTCATTAACCACCTCCAGGCCTCAGTGTTGATGATTGAACAAAAGCAAAAGGACGTCCATCCATGGAAGAGCTTCTCATGAGTCAAACGTGAGTGAAACTGTTTGGATGGTTTATCACATCTGTAGTAAAGGTTATCTGTTAGGTGGAAGAATACTTATTCATTGCTCTGTACTTGACTTACACACAGGATTCTGGAAACAGAAATAAAGCATCTTCGGCACTGTTCAGCCAAAAACAAAAATCCCTACTTTAACTAAAGAAGCATGATATATTCCAACCTATTCATATTGGAACTGTGAGTATTCAGTTCATATTGGAACTGGATATTCACTGTTGTGTGCATATTCACAGCATTTTCTCTTATCCTATAAATTAAAAAAAATCAGCTTCTTTTGCCTATGTGCGAAAAACAAAAAACAAAAAATATAATACCTAAGGTTCAACACTTTAAATCACTAAGGTTTATATCTGAGCAGCATTTATTGATGAGTCAGTTCACATCTTACTGTGTTCGAATGCAACAAAATACAAATGATGCAAGACACACAGTAGGCTATTTGAAGTTTTCTGTAAGGGCTTCAAGGGTCATAAACATTGCATGGCTTTGAAAAACATCAAGTGCATTATGTTTGGAATTCAAGTTTATTCTTAACTCATTTTAAGTTACCATCAAAGACTTCTGCAAAAGGATTCATCAGACTTCGAAAGTGAGCAAAAAGTCTGATTTATGAGGGTTAGTATTGCAGGAATGTCTGGTTAAAAATATATATAAATCCTGTAGCTTAAAGTAAGCTCCAAGGAAAATATTGCCAGCGACCTAGATGCATCAGTTCAGCTTCACTGGCTTCATCTATCATGTAAACCCATTTTTTAAGGAATATAAAGCAGGACTGAGGAAATATCAATAGGTAATCACTTAAGCCAAACCATACAAAGTCTGTTCTGTGGCATAGCTGTGTAATTGTGTTCCCTTTGCTTGTCCTATTTCCACCATAATCACAGAAAACAATTGGAGGTATTTTACAGAAAGAAACAACTATTTCAGCATATGTGTTATTTTGTGTATTTATTAATTTGATTGTCACAACAACAACAAAAAAAATCATGAATAGTGTACATATTGTTTTTAACAATTTTGGGTCAGATGATTCAGGGCTACTCCTTTAGGCAACGTCTAAATCTGGTGAGGTGTCCGTCTTCCCTGACCAAGCACAATGATACTGTGGTTGAAAAAAGGATTTGTACCTCTGGCAGTATGGACAGGTGCCAAGTATTTCTGGAAAATGAAATCAGTCTCCCAGAAGCGTATCAGTCATAGGTTTCCTTCCACTCAATTTTCCAAAAAAGTATGCTTGAATAAAACACTCAATAAACAGTCGGTGTCTTTTGCGGTGACATTTTACTCCTTACTGTTTGCTAATTGGTGCCACATAATATTAAAATTGTCCAAGTAACTAAACTATGGGTGTGTAATGAATATACAGGTAAACTGCTGATAAAAATGAACTTTTGAAAGATTTTTGATGTACATATGCCTTCTACACATAAAAGCAAATGTTAGAATATGATTGATAATTTCAACGACATACAGCAAATGCTACAACAATACCAGATTAAAAATTAAAACGGGTCAAATCACAGGAGGTTTGTACATGAGCATCACCGTACTTACATAAAGTAAGTACGGTGATGCTCACAACAAGCATGTTGTTTGTTAGTCTGACCTTGGTGTCTGTGGAGACATTCCAGTGCTGGGGCCACTGACAGCAAAGTTGTTTTTTTTTTAACAACCAGCTGCATTTGGTTTGACAGAGAATGAGCAGGTAACCATAGTGATGAAAAGAAGCACACTAAAACAGACAGTATATAGTTTAAAAAGTCAGTTTCTGCAAAAGATTTTGCTGCTCTGATTAAAAAAATATAAGTAAATTAAAAAATTATTATTATTATTTTTATTTATTTTTTTCCTTCCAGAAATTTTCTTCCAGGACTTCCCAGTATTTTGTCCCATCTATCTTCTTAAACTCTCTGACTTCTCTGTTCCTGTTGAGGAAAAGCAACCACATGGTGCCACCATTTTTCACCACAGGGATGGTGTGTCCTCTGATTTGTTAGAGTCCAAGAACCATTTATAGGTCTCACATGACCGGTACTACATGGCTTGCGCCAAATTGACAAAGGGGCTTATTGTCTTGTAACAAGTGGCTTTCTGCTTGTCACTACAAATGCTACAAAGGGCATTTTTGTGTTCTGCCCAGGTGGAGTGCACAGGTTGTGCTGTCAATAAATTCTCCAGCCTGAGTTGTACAGCTCCTCCAGAGTTACCAAAAACCTATTAGCTGCTCTGATTAATGTTCTCCTTCCTCAACTTGTCAGCTTAGGAGGATAGCTATATCTTAAGGTAAAAAGGACTTGAAGGGGGTCTTAAAAGTGCACAAAATACTTTTAAGACACAAAATTTATCTTTATTTATTTATTTTTTTAACACCATGTGTCCTGTTTCTTTCACTTCACAAGTATATATTACGTTACTTTGCTTAATTAGAATCCAAATCAAATGCACTAAAGTATTTGGTTACTGCAAAACAAGATGTAAAAATTCAAGTGTGTGAATATTTTTTTTGCCGTGCTGAGATATACTCTGTTGGCCGTTCTGAGGTACTTTGTCAAGGTGTAAAGCTTGATTGGCATAAAAGCAGAGGGGAGCGAAGTTGTTGTGTAACTTTGCCGTTTATGGCTCTGTCAGTTATTGACTTGTGAAATGTGTGCTATATCATCAACATACACCTTTGTATTCTCTGCCTCCTTCGCATTAACTTTGCACGGTCACTGCCATTTATTTACTTCTCAATGAAGACAGTACAACATGGCAGGAAGAGAACCAATCGGTGTTCTTCTACTTCACATTTTTTGCCTTCTGTGTGTTACCATCCTTTGTTTGGTAAGATATTGATTTGATTTAATGGTATGGGTTTTAAAATGTAAAAAGTATATTTGATATATATATATGCTAATAATATACTTTTACATAATATATTTAATTACTTTGTTATTCAACACTTTCTACCGTTTTACTATCCATCACGTAGCCGACTGCAAAGATACCAGGTAAGCATTTCCTTTAGAAACCTGTGGACTTCGCTCTTTCATAATGCTAAACACAAATGTCTTCAACGCGTTTATTTATTTCTGTTTTCCGCAGACTTTGATGTAGACGGTGGACGAGACCTTGACATTTTTGACATCAATGAAGGTTTGTCGAGACAACAGTTTGTGTCACTTTATCCCCCGTTTCTTCCTGGTTTGCGCTTGGTTACCCTTTAAACTGATAATATCTGTACTCTATGTCCTCTCAGAGGCAGGGCTGAATCTGGTAGAGGGAGACATTGTACTTGATGAGGTAGATTTTAATATTTTGTTTCATTTTCATCAGCACGTGTGAAATTTGTAAAATCACATTTCTCTCTCCATTGGGATTGGCTTATTCTTGCCGCTACAGACACAAACACGGAATTCTATCATTGGGGATGAGTACAAGTGGCCAACAACTGTTCCCTACTACATGGAAGATGACTTAGGTAAGAGTGTCTGTTGAAACATTTGGTAAAATGTAGCCTGAAAATAACTTCATGTAAACAGATTTACTCAGTATTTGCATTTCATTTCAGCATGACTTGGCAACAGTGCATAGCTTTTACCTGTGTTACATATTTGCAGCTTTATTTTGTTTGTTAACATTTTATTAGCAAATTTTACTTTAAGTGTTTTAGAATATAATTGTGCATAAAACATGTTGGCGCCCTGCTGATGAAACACTGTGAACTTGTTGTGCCATCTTCTTATTGTCCAAGCTTTTAAGCTGATAGAGATCCAAGATTACTGTCAGTTAATCAACAATCATTATGACGTGTCATAAGAGAGGTGACAATCTTAAAGTTGTTTGTGCATAATCCTGCACCGGGATCTGTGTGGTTTTGATAAATAAATGAATAAATAAATAAATAAATAAATAAGAAAACAAAAATAGTCAGATGCAGGTACAGACACACAGAAAAAGACAATACTTCTGTGAGCATCTTAATATTACTTTTTCATGGTTTATTCAATATGTTATACATGGCAGGTGAAGAACATAACGCTCACAACATTTTGATCATATCAGTGGGTGGGACGATTGGGGTAGAAAGTGAGCAGCAGATGTGGGCAACCGCAAGTATGTGAGTTTGATAAAGGCCAAAGAGCAAAAGCTGGAAGACTGAGTCAGGGCATTTTCAAACCTGCTGCTCCTCTATCGAAAGTGGTACAAGGAAGGAATAGTGATGAAAAGGTCCTCAGCCAAAAGTGCAGACAGTGAGTGATGTCAGAATCGGACTGACATCTACCGTCAGAGAGCTGGTGGACCCAGGTGTAACAGCAGCGACAGATATACATGTTCACATATGATGAACCTTTGATGATGAAGAACATTTAAACTTTAATAGACCTGATTTGCTTGTGTTGTCTCCTCTGAAGAGATCAATGCAAAAGGTGTAATTCTAAAGGCCTTTGAACAGTACCGCCTCAAGACCTGCATTGACTTCAAACCATGGAGCGGGGAAGAAAACTACATTTCGATCTTTAAAGGAAACGGGTAAGACAAGAAGAACCTATTTGTTTTTTTTATTATTATTATTTTTTACCCTTTTAGATGGTAAGACAAGCTGTGCCTTCTTGGGGATTAAAACATTACTAATTCAGCACATGAGAAGCAGTCGTTGAGATAAGGCTCTGCTGGTTTTATTTGATGTTCATAAAAGCTTTCCTCCCCTTCCCAAAGCTGCTTCTCCTCTGTTGGTAATCGCAAGGTCGGGAAGCAGAGGTTGTCAATAGGAACGAACTGCGACCGCATCGCTACGATAGAACATGAGTTCCTTCATGCTCTGGGCTTCTGGCATGAGCAGTCCAGGTCAGACCGCGATGACTATGTGCAGATCGTGTGGGACCGCATCTTGGAAGGTATTAACTGGTTCTGATTCTTTTTGTGAAATCTTGACTACGATTGCATATGCAGGACCTTGCAAAAGTAGTCTTACCTCTTAGAATGTTTCACACGTTGTTTCAAAAACTTCAGTATTCCATCGATATTTTATATGAAATATATGAAAAGTAGTCGGTAATGTCCTTTCTGTGCTATGGATAAATAAATCCCAGAGCAACAGATTACCTTCACAAGTCAAGTAACTAGTAAATAATCTTCACTTGTTCATAATTTATAAATTAAGAGAACTTTGTTGCTGCAATAAAAGCAGTTTTATTGCTTCTTTTAGTGCACCGATTGTTTTATTGCATACATGATAAGTATATTCATAACAAATTGACCTATGCTCATCAATTTGCTAATGTATCATTTCCTTTAAACTGTAGTCAAAGTACATTTTCCACAGACAGGTCAGCAGTTTCTAGAACATCCTTAAACACCTATGAATAAACAAACTTTTTAAGGATTTTGAAAAAGTGTGTTTTTATTTTTTAATTTTTTTTATAGGCAGAGAACACAACTTCAACACATATGATGACACCGTTTCCAGCTCTTTGGGCGTGCCCTACGACTACAACTCCATGATGCACTACAGCAAAGGCGCTTTCCAGAACGGTTCGGAGCCCACCATCGTCACCAAGATCCCTGCTTTCAGCGATGTCATCGGACAGCGAATGGAGTTCAGTGACAGTGACCTGCTGAAGCTGAACCGCCTCTACAAGTGCAGTAAGAGTCAACCCCATACGGGGCTTTTTTTTTTTTTTTTCTCTCAGCAAAACCAAAAGTAATGGAAACATTCAGCTGAAGATAGTGAGGTCCCTTTTTTCAGTTGGGCATCATTGAAACATGTGGATAAACAGAATGACGCTACACTGAGTTTATTACTGTTCCTACACGTGCTTACCACATTTTTTTTTTCTAGCTCAAGGCTCCACCTTTCTGGACTCGTGTGATTTTGAGCGTGAGAATATCTGTGGGATGATCCAGGGACATGGGGACCAGGCCGACTGGGTGAGGGTCGTTAGTGCAGATGGAGGGCCAGACACGGACTATTCCAACATGGGCAAATGCACAGGTGAGATAGATCTTAGAGAGA